GTAGCGTTCGCATGTTATCTCTACCCCAACAAATTCTGTGCAGCTACAGGGCCATGAAGTTAAAAATCTGCTTTATCATGTTCTGAACTATTTATCTACAAAATGTAGTACAAATCGTGGCAGTCACATCAATTTGTTTCATTTTCCTAAACTGACAGCTCTTAAACTGCTTATGTGTTTAATATCTCAAATTTTTCGTCCTAAACTTACAGCTCTCAAACTGCTTATGTGTTTAATATCTCAAATTTATCATCCTAAACTGACAGCTCTCAAACTGCTTATGTGTTTAATAACTCAAATTTTTCGTCCTAAACTGATAACTCTCAAACTGCTTATGTGTTTAATGTCTCAAATTTACCATGAATTTTGTAACACCCTATCTATATACATATGAAAAAATGTACAGACGCAAAGCAAAAAAAATGCACATCTATTAATTTAAATCATGTCATAATTACTTTACATGAACAACAAAATACAGCACGCGTCATTTGTCACGAAACTCCCACGATTCTAATGGCAACAACAACAAAAAATCCAACACCAACACACAATAGTAAACTATTGTTTAAATTTGGTAGTTAAACATGATTAACAACATAATTATCATTAAAATGTTAAATATTTACAAACAATGATATACCGACGCGAAAACAAATATTTAAAAGAATTAAACAAAACAAGCAGCATTATAATGTAACTCTTTACAGAAGAGTTTTTTAACTTTTAGAAAAAAATTATTTTAAATATTTAACATTAAAATCAGTGAACTTTAAACAACTTTAAAGAAGATTTGGAAAAGTTGTTGGATATTTATATTAAACAAGATGGATTAACAAGTTTAAAGTAAATACACTCAAAGAAAAAAATATAATTGAATATGAGAAAAGCAAACCTTTAAATTCAACAATATTATGGTCACAGTCTCTCATAACTCGAGTAGACGCAATCATGTTATATTAACTCCTTCATGCTGCAATCTAATTTTTTCTCTAAGTGTAATTTTAAAAGTTTAATAACATTTTGCTAAAACAATTGTTTTTTTTTTCTCTGAAAATTTAATTTAGTAATCTTATAAATTATATAATTTTCCTTTACAACTAAAATTATAGTAATAGAAATTTAACAGCAAAAGTGAAAATGAAATTGGTATTGTTGCCAACTTTGTAACGTTTTTGTTTGAGCATAAAGAGCACCAGGAAGGAAATTGTATTTAAGTAAAAAATTAACGTTTATTTTAAACAATGTGGCACTCTTGTTTAACATAGCATTTTTTGAAATTTTCTACAGTTTCTGCCACAAAACAAATAAATTCACATTTAAATAAATATAAATAAGGAAACAGATGATTGATCGAATTTACAAAAAAAAAACTCAACTGTCAGGGTAAATTTTAAAACAGGTGATGGGCTGGCGTTGGCTATAACATTCAGTAAATTTGAAATTAAAATTACTTAGGTTTTTTTTAACTTTGTTTTATAATTTTTATTAAACCAATTTTGTTATTGTCTTAACTTAGATACGCGTAAGTTATTGTTTTATAATGACGTCAATGTTTAATTTAAATTAAGAATTTTTAAATAGCTGCCTACCTGCTTGTCTGTCAGTTGCGTGTGTGAAACTGTTTTAGAATTTTTAATGCCAAAAATTAAGATATTTGTCTGAAATTCATTGAATTGTTTTAAATCGTTTTTAACTTTATTAACAATAGGGAGTCATTATTTTAAATTATTTTTTTCACATTATAATTTTTCATAATTTATTTATTCAAATCAGGTGTTAAGTCTAGGAAATATCAAGGAATTTTTTTAGTTATTTTTTACCATTTGAAATGTTTTTTAGCATAATTCCTACACTATTAATTTGTAGAATACGTGGACAAAACAAAAATTGATCGAAATTTTCCATTTTGAGATCAAAGACAAAGACAACAGTTTGAATTATAGTCTAAACAATATTCTAAATATAAACCAGATTATAGTCTTATCTACAGACTAGACTGTAGACTTGCCTATAGCTTAGACTTTAGTATGAACTATAGACTGCACTATAGTCTGAACAAAATACTAGAGTTTGGACTATAGACTAGAGTCTGAACTATAGACTAGACTACAGTCTAAAATATAGACTAGACTGTAATCTAAACTTAAGTCTGGACTCTAGATTAGACTATAGCTCGACTATAGACTAAACTATAGTCTTGACTACAGACTAGACTATAGTATTGAGTATAGTCTAGACTATAGCCTTGATTATAGTCTTGAGTATAGTCTAGACTATAGCCTTGACTATAGACTAGACTATAGTCTTGACTATAGACTATATTCTGGACAATAGGCTATACTATAATCTGGACTATAGACTAGACTACAGTCTGAACTACAGACGAAAATACAGTCTTGACTAAAGACTAGACTATGGTCTATATTTAACACTGGACCATAGACTATACTATAATCTGGACTATAGACTAGACTATAGTCTGGATTATAATCTGGACTATAGACTAGACTATAGTCTGGACTATAGACTACACTATAATCTGGACTATAGACTAGACTATAGTCTGGACTATAAACTAGATTATATTCTGGACTATATTCTGGACAATAGACTAGACTATAATCTTCACTATAGACTAGACTACAGTCTGAACTATAGACGAAAATACAGTCTTGACTAAAGACTAGACTATGGTTTATATTTAACACTGGACCATAGACTATACTATAATCTGGACTATAGACTAGACTATAGTCTGGACTATAATCTGGACTATAGACTAGACTATACTCTGGACTATAGACTAGACTATAGTCTGGACTATATACTACACTATAATCTGGACTATAGACTAGACTATAGAATACACTATAATCTAGACTATAGACTAGACTAAAATTTGGACTATAGACTAGACTATAAGCTGGACTATAAAATAGACTATAGTCTGGGCTATAGATTAGACTATTGTCTGGACTATAGATTAGACTATAGTCTGGACTATAGACAATATTCTGGACTATAGACTAGACTATATTCTGGACTATAGACTAGACTATATTCTGGACTATAGACTAGACTATAGTCTATATTCTGGACTATAGACTACACTATATTCTGGACTATAGACTAGACTATAGTCTGGATTATATATTAGACTATAGACTATTGTCTTGGCTACATACTAGACTATAGTCTGGGCTACATACTAGACTATAGTCTGGACTATAGACTAAACTATAGTCTGGACTACACACTAAAGTGTAAATTAAACACTAGACTAAAGTCTGGACCATAAACAAAACTATAGTCTGGACTACAAACTAGACTCTAGTCTAGTGACAACCTTTTAATTAACAATTAATATTGATGGAAATTTTCCGCCGTTTGGATAAACAATTAAACAAATTGAACAATTAAAAATAAGATGCCTTCAATTTATTTAGATTAAGGCCATTTGAAAAATAAAATTGTTTTCAATCTCTACTAAAAAATGTCTTAAAAACAATTAAACATTATTATTACTTATTACTGAAATTAACATGAACTACTATTAATTACTTAAATGTTGCATTTTAAGCTAAACAACAACAACAAAAACAAATTAAAAAAACAATTGGCCAATAATTTTAAACATTTACGAGTAAAAGCAAAATATATAAAAGAAACGTGTATCAATCGATTAATTATTCGTATTTTTCTTGTATAGTTTTTTTTTTTTTTAAAAATTTATTTATTTGTTCAAACCACAGTGAGTTGATTTAATATGTGTATGACCTTAACCGACATATAAGCCATAAGTACTTTGGAATATACACGTTAATAATAATACATAATAATAAAAAATAATAAAGAAAAAAAAAATAAAATTGAATGGCATTTGATTTAAAATATTTAACTTATTAATTGATAAACGTTTGGTCGCTCGAACAACGAGGAGTTCACACAAATAAAACATAAAATATTTTATTTATTTTGCTGGATATTAACATAAATTCATGGAATAGCTTTACTAAAAAACGCATTAATTAATATTTTGTTTACATTTTTTACAAAAATCTGTTGTTGTTTATTTCAAGAAGCTTTAAACATTTAGATTAGTTAATTAGATATTGTGGGTTTTACAGCGAATAGTAAAACATTTTATCTTTTAAGAAAATATAACAAATTTATATGGTCATCATTAAAACTGTTATCTGTCACTTGGAGTATGTTCAGTGATTTGTTAATGTCAAAAGATGATTTTTTTAAAAAGATTTATAGGAATTTTATTAAACAGTTTAAAGATTCACATACATTTATACCTTTTGGATTAGTTTAACAGAAAAAATAAAAATTTTTCATTGAAATTCATTACTTTAGCTTTGAACTGATGTATCAGTTACAATTTACCGCCATTTCTATGTCAGTTTCATCCGTTTTAAAATGTAAATAACATTTTAAAATTACCATTCCCTTGATCATGCCATTTTATTTAAAGTTTTTCATTTAAAAAGCCATATCCGACAATTCAAATAATCAAATCAAAATGCAACAAAACAAAATAACTATTGTTTAAAGTGAACAATGTTAGAAAAATCAATCATTACACTTGATAATTTATTATAGTAATTGTAGGTGTAAAATTGGTTTTGAAACAAATTAACAAGAGTTTGCATAATAAATAATAAACAGCATCCCAAACATAAAACAAATTGTTAATACTTTAGCTCAAATTAAACAATTCACTTTTAACTTTTTAAAATGCAAAAAAAAAACAAAACAAAATAAAATAAAAAGGTGATTTAAGGTTTTTGACTTGAACAATAGGCAAAAATTGCAATTACGTGTAAAACTAAACAAACTTTCACTTTTTGTTACAGTATTACCATAAAAATAACAAAAACAATAAAAATTATAAATAATTATTAACCCTTAAATATTAAATAATAAAAAAAAAATTAAATTAAAAAAATATATATATTAAATCTTGTTTTTTCTTCATTTTGTCTTTTAAGGAATTGGATGTTTTAACATTGGGCTCCCGAGACCAAGAACAATTAATAGCAGAACGTAATAAAAGAACAATAGGTTTATTACGTGATCTGTTTCCCGATATAACTAAGGTATGATTGAAATATTTATGAAAAGTTTTTTTTGCGTTTTGTTTAGTCTGTTATAAAAACAAAAAGATGATAAGAAAAATAACACTAGACTTTTTGTTAAGAATACACAATTAATTGTTTATTTGATTACCTATTCATTTTTTTACTATTCTATTAACTATATGTAAATATATAAAATAATATTAATAGTTTAGCTATGCATAAATAAACACATACATACATAAGTAGGTGTGTTATAGTAAGGATAATTATATACCTACCACTGAATAGTTTAAATGACAACTACTCATGTCAGTCATTTTTGTAAATTAAATTAAAATAACTGACGGGTTTTTTTTTCTGTTCAACAAGTTAATGAATGAATTTTAAATTTTTTATAAATGCTTTTTGCCATAGCAATTAGACCAGGAAATAAATCGTTTTGTTAATAATATCTTAAGACAATTGGGTCCCATTGTCTTGGGTACCGTTTTAAATCCCTTAAACGATCATCCACGTTTACCCCTTGATGAAGCTGATGTAGATGATGAGTTGGATATAAATGCCAATAATGGAACATTGACAAATGAGTTTACAGTTTATGAACCGGATGGAGATTTTGAAAGATCACAGGAGAAGCGAGATAATAAAAGTGGAGAGGAGAAAACTGAAAAATAATATTATATAATAATTTTGAAAGATTAATCTAATTGGCATTACTAAAATATATCTCTACTGAATTGGCATTCTATTCGAAAAAATTAAAGATGATTGGCATCACTTTTTTATGTGTAAAATAAATTGGCAACATTGGTAACAAAAAAAATTGGCAACATATTATATTGAAAAGCTTCCAATTGGAAAAAAAGAGCTTTTTAGAAAAAGGTCGTTTACAAGATAAAGGCAATACTTTTTCCCACTTGCAAGAAAAATTAAAATTGATCAATTTTATTAAAGAGTCTCTGATGACATTAAGATCAATTGTTATCAAAGCATTTTAATCACATTTAAAGGCTCTTCAGCTACTCCAACAAATACGTACTATACCGCAATTTACTGATTACTCCTATATGTTTGATTCTCATGTGTGAGTCGATCTTTTCCAATTAGCTGATTTATGCAGATCTAATAGCGACTAGTTTGAGCATCACAGTTTGCTAGATTTATCGAAAAGTCGATCATCATCTGATCTTTTGAAGTACTTTGAGCAAAGCAGTTAGACTCTTACAGAATAATCGAATGAACGATAACGACAAGATATAAGAATAGTGGATTTGTTCTGATCTAAAAGATTCAAACTGATCAAGATTATAAGGTGGTCACGATCTTATCCCTTAAACCATCGTTACCAGTTAGCAGATTTTACATTTATTAATATAAAAGAATCTATAAATTAGAATTGGAACCACATTTCTAACACCTTCAGCTCCTTAAATTACCGTTATTTGCTCATTACTCTTATAGTATGTTTGACTCTTATCTATGATCTGATCTATGAAAGCTTAAAATGATACATTTATGTCGATTGCTTTAATAAATTAAGAACCTTCCCAAGATCTATAATAACAACATATTGGTATTTATAAAAAAATTAGATGATAATTTGGTAGATTTTTCGAGAAGTCGATCATAATCTTACCTTTTAAAGTACCATGATGTAGAAAGTTCAGAAATATAAGAAAAGAGCTGATAACTTGATGGATTCGATCTGACCCAAAAGTTTCAAACTGATCAACGATTCAAAGGCGATCACGATCATTCCCTTTAAACAATCATGACCAAAGCTAGCAGATTTTACGATCATAAGTAATTTTGTGCTTTATTGTGCTAAAATAAACATTTTCAAAATTGGAAAAGTAAAACGGTTGCATAAAGATCATATTTGTAATGATATCTGAAAAGTATAAAGCAGTGATCGCCAACCAGCCAGCCACAAGATTTCAAATACAAGAAGACCAAATGAAAAACAACAAAATTCGTAAAATCAAGCATTTAGGAAAGGAAATATTAAATAAGTAACTTGAGAACTTTATCAATAATAAATTCCTTTACGCCCATCACAGCTAAAAGACTTTAAAAGAAGGAAAAATTTATTGCCTTAAAAAATTTTCAATAATTTCCACACCAAAATCGTCTTTTTGGCCTAAAATTAAAGCAAATTATTTCATTTAAAAAAATTACAAATAAATCACTTGTTACTAATTTCAGCAAAACAAAAATGTCCTTCCTCAAATAAAAAATGAAAAACCAAACAAAATAAAATCACAAAATTTTACTAAAAAGCAAAAACCACAACAAAATTTTACTAATTAACGGTAATGTTATATAAAAACCCAAAATAAAGATATGGCGGACCAGGTTAGAAGATTCCAAAATGCATGCATGGAATTTTATATATAGAATATAAAATAAAAAAACAAAAATTGATAACGTCCATAATTGTCACTCTTACTCGCTCTATGTTACACTCACAATTGCAGATTGCATAAATTTTACACACAAATTTCTTTTGATTTTTTTTTCCTTTGAAACAATAAAAACCAAAAAATTGTGTTTTTTCCCCATAAAACTATGTTTTTTCAAAATAGCAAATTGATGGTATAGTAAATCGTATCATAGCTCAAGTGATACGAGTAGCTGGACCCGATGTTTTGCGTTCTGTATTGGGTAGTAATCGTAATATGACACCCCGGCCTAATTTGGCAGCCGATTTCGATGATGATGACGATGATGAAGATGATGTAAATAAAATTAATAATGATAGTAAAGCGACTACGACAACATCTGCAGGTGGTGATAATACTAGGGTACAAATAGATTTACCAACATTTCCACCAGAGACTGCACAAGCTGATGCCACAAATAAAGTGAGTTCGAGCAGTTTCGACAGCAGCTCAAATCCAACCTCAACCTTAACTACTCCTACCACAACTTCAACAACTAGCAGTACTACCATTCCTTCTACTACCTCTTCCTCGACCACTACGACCACCACCTTAGCTCCCTCTACCACTACTACCACCACCTCTACGACAACTGAAAGTCCCATTTTAATAATAGCGCCTATTACTACCACAACCACTACTACCACTCCTACTCCCACTACTACAACTTCAACAACAACCACTACTACTCCCAAACCCGATATTACCCTTAATGTACCCAATTCTATAACCTCATCAATGGTGAATTCATTAACAACCTCTCTACAAAATGAAATAAATTCAAATACCGAAACGAGAGCTGTTAATGAATCGCAATTGATAGCTATTGTTGAAAGTTTAAATCGTTTATTAAATTCTACAAATTATTTTGTTGCCTCCAGAGATAATTTCTCCACCTCATCACAACCAACAGCAACAACTTCAACTATAACAGCAGATTCAACAACAACACCAAAAATAACCAAATTATTACCAGTCAATAATTAAAATACAACTCTGTAATTATTCGAACAAAAATCAAAACAAAACGAAGCTGACCTTCAAAAACACAACGCTTTATCAAACAAACAATTCTACGCTCTGATCATTTCTGGATTTATCATTTTGAGTTCATCTGGCATCGTTAGTAGTTTTTATTTTTAATTTTTACTGAATGGTAGTTAATGAATTGTGTATTTTGTTTCTTTTTGGCACTTATACTCATCATTTTGACTTCATTTCAGCAAAAACAAATAAATTTTAATTAATTTGTTTTCCATTTTTTTAGTTTGTATTTGCAAATCTGTAGTTTAGTTTTTACAAAAACTCATTGCAACAATTCATCATTTTTCTTTTTTAACTTTATTTAAAAAAAAATTGTTTTAATTTTTTATTTTGTTTGTTTTTATTTACAAAAGGCATGAGAGTTTCGGAATTAAAAAGTATTTGTTGAGACTATTCTGAAATTATTAAAATTATTTTGTTATTGTTTGGTAGATGAAATATAGGTAACAACGTCTAAGCATAAAGAGAGTATTAAGATATAGCTATTTAATGTCAAGGGTATAAATAACGTAGCATACTTTTAGGCATTTTAAAATTATTGTTTAAGTTGCTGAAAACATTTCAATATTTATTAATTTCAAAACCTTTTGTGTCAGTATTTTTCTTGAGATCAATTTGATTGTTATTATGCTTAAGGCGACTATTTAATTAGTTATTTTACTAACTTGTGTTAGGATTTGTATTGAGAACTAAAGTTGATATATATTTACTCCTTTCTAAATATTTAAAAAAAATTGATCTGAATATTATAAGTTCAATCACTATTAATTTCAAAAAAGTTTTGGGGCCATTTTCTATTAATGTTTAGGACCTGCTTTGGTAAAATTTAAAATAATTTTTATTTGTTAAGTTCTGTAGGGAAACTCCCAAAAAGAGTGTAGTTTTTACGATTTCCATATAAACTTGCAATTGAAAATTATTTTATATTTAACAAAAGCATTCAAAACTAATTTCTGTTTTAAATTTAACTAAAATATTAATATTTCTTTTACTACATGGATTTCAATAATAAAAATTTCGCACTTGAAAGCTTTAATAAATCACTTTTACACTTTAAAGGAAGAGAATTTTAAACAATATTACGAAGTTTGTTTATATTTTTATATTTGTAAAAACACTTTTTTATGTAAATTAACCTCGATATTAAGAACTAGGAATAACTTAATGTTTCCACTACCATCAAATGCAAATGTTTCCACAAAATTGGCCACTTTTTTTAGCACATCCTATAATCATTTACACCAGACACATCCAAACAATCTGAAAACAAAATGTCATTAAAATTTTTATCACACAATTGTTGTTGTAGCAAATCGATGAGCAAGCTAATATGATTATATCAAAACTTTTACGTGCCTTGGGACCCACTATATTACGTACCGCCGTACAAGGTAATACCGCCAATAGAGCAAGAGCTTCATTTGATGCTGATTTCGATGATGATGATGATGACAATAGCAGCAGTAGCAGCAGTACAGGTAGTAGCACTTCATCTAGCAGTGGTACTAGAGTATCCATAGAATTGCCCACATTTGAGCCAGAAGATGATGATAATAATGAGGTAGATAGTGGTGATAAAACTACAACTACCACGAGTACAACTACAGAATCCACAAAATGTGAGTGGAATGGCAACAAAAATGAAAATGTTTGCTACAACAACGCTTAAAAACTTAATAAGCTATACTTTTTAAAAAAATATATACAATAATATGGTTAGTGTTGCCATTTAAAAATATGAATTAATCTGGCAATGCTTTTTAAATTATTGTAGATTTTTTTATTAAGTAATTGGCGCTTATTTCTTGTCTTCTTCACAATTGGTTTTTAATAAAAAATTTTTTTCTTTTTTTATTGGAATTTTTCTTTAAACAGAATTTTTTTAATTACACACTCTGAAAATAATTGGCAGTAAACAAGCAACAACAAAAAACCACTACTTTTTTTTAAACAACACAACAATTACAACAACAACATATAAAATAAAATTTACAAAAAAAAAACAAACAAATAAAACTACAAAATTTTTCTTTTCCGTTTAACGAGTCTATAACTCAATTTCCTCTAACACTATCTCTCTATGTTGTCACCTGTTAAATAATAAAAAAAAAAAATGCTCACCTTTTTGTTTAAGCTCTTAGTTTTTTAAGTTTAGTTTTGTTTTAGCAGGGAATTATTCTTTTTCACTTTGTATCTATTACTTGTACTTTTGTAAAATTGTATAATTTATGTTTATAGTTCCTTTTTATAACAAAATTGGCTTTTAATTATAAGGAAAATTCTAGACAAAAAAAATAACCATTTGAATGATCATGATTTCTCATGCTTTTTGTTTTCTCTTTTCTCTTTTTTTCTTTTTCATGCGCATACTACATAAAAAAAAATCTCAAAAAATCAACTTGTGAAATAACTCTTTAAAACTCAAAAAAAAATCGTTTAAATCAAAACTGAAAATCCATCAACCACAAATGCAAAAAAACTTTATAAATAAAACAAAATCAAATTAATAAATTGATTTTAAAAAATGTATACAAAATACATCATTATGCACGTGCATTCATTTTAATAATGTAATTAAAATGTTGGTATTGAAAAACTAATAATAATATAATTTGTAAAAAATTTATTTTTTGGTTTTGAAAATTCATTTAATGAAAACAAAATTGCCACACTTTTTTTGTAATTACACATTTATATGCATTTTGTAATGTACACATATGAACACTGACTAAATCACCACAATGTCATTTATTACACTTGTTATATATGCACAAAATATCCTGATCGTTTCTCTCTCTCTCTCTCTCTCTATCTATCCATGTCTCTCCCCTCATTAATCTGTTTATCATTATCATAACCTATCCTACCTCCTACACACTCCCATATAACTATTTTGAAAACTATCCTCTCTATTCCCTCCTGTGTATGTGCCTATCTCTCTCTCTCTTTTACTAAAACCTTTTGCACGTTATTATAACAAAAACAAAACAACATATAACCCTCTCCCAACCAAACAAATGGCAAAATCCTCCCAAAAAAATATATATATATAAATGTATAATGGCAACCTTGGTTTTATTCCCATTAATGAAATAATGAAATAAACGGTATTATTACGCGTTCGTTTGAAAACCACAATTTAAAAATGAAATAATTAATGCACGAAATTATTTTTTCAAAATCAATACGTATCTCGTATAACGTTTTAATTTGTTAAAATTCGCTGCATGAATGAATAATGTCGATTTAATTCGCATACAAAAGAATGGTGCCACTGATACACAAATTGATTTATCGGCCATTAACAAACAATTGGAAGAAACCATACGCGTTGCCAGACAAGTCAAAGAAGCTGAAGCCGCCGCTCAAGCTGTTGCTGCTCTCCAACAACAACAACAACCAGCTCAACTGCCCATTCCTTCGCCCAAGATTGAAGAGACCATACAATTGAGTTTCAACAATGAATTGAATAACATCGATAAGCCCAAATCGATTAGTAACGAATTACAATTGAGCGATTCCAAGTCACCAGCCATCGATGAATTGACTTTGGATTCAAATGAAGATACTGCCGATTTGGATGATAGAAACAAGAGGTATTTATTTGAGTTTTTAGATTAAGATCTTGTATACACATTTACATATGCAAATTGGCTTTAAATGAAATCTGAAACACTTTTCCAAATTTGGGTAACACAACACTATTGTTTTCTTTCCGACAAATTTTCTTATTTAGCAATATTTTCAAAAGGTTTTTGCAATTCGGCGGTGCCGGTTTAGCTGGCGGTGCTAGCGGTGGCTCAAGTGCCGGTGGTGCTGGAGGTGCTGGCGGCGCTGGAGGTTCCGGTAACTTCTTATTTGATATTGTCAGAGTAAGTACTATAAAGATTTTAAGTTATAGGGTTTTTTGGTTGGGTGAAGTACGATGAGATGCTTTTATTGTCGATCATTCGAACCATTTTTAAATTTCTCTCAGAAAGAACAGAAAGTAGTAAGAAGATCTGAAACGGATCCTGTAAGGAATGGTGCAAATCACAGAGCAGTTTATTGCTTTTAGAAATTCTATTGTAGGTCACGAATTTATAGTTCTATCAGTTCGGAGTCTTAAAATCACTACAATTACCAACAAAGAGATCGGAGGTTAGATTCACACCACAAACATTGGCATGTTTCACTACAACAATCGGTGGCCGAGACGAAAAATTTTCTTAGTTTGTAGATCCCTCTAGATAATCAAGTCTGTTTCACTACAATAACCGACGATCAAAAATGAAATCATAGAGCTTTAATTTAGAGTTCTATCAGAGATCGAGGGTTCAATTCACACACATAGGTCTGTTTTTATTACAACAACCGATAGCCAAAATGAAATTGTAGATACTCAAGTTAGAGTTCTCTTAACCTCTTAACTCTTAAAAATTCGATTCTGATTAAAGAAAGCTTTAGTTAAAGCTTTAAGTCAGAGTTATTCGTATTTCAGCTGATCGCAATAATACATACTGTCTTTTTAGATCTTGTTTTTACACTTTAAGTTTTCACGAAATCCTAATCAATATCAAACAGTTAAACATTCTGCTTAAGCCAATACGGCCCAGCTCTTCTCTGCACTATGATCAGCAAAAATGAACACGATTTAATAATTGATTTATTTTACTGATCTTACAACATAATGACAACACTCGTACTATTCCAAATTCACTCTATTAAAAACTCGTTCCTTTAAAAATATATTAACATTTTCTCTTTCTTCCCAATTTTATAGCTTTTCTCTGGTAGTGTGCAAACTCAAGCTGGTGATGAAGCAGCCAATAGTGTAAGCAGTTCCTCAGACAGTGATTCCGATAGCGATAGCAATCGTTCCAATGATGGTTACACGGAAGGTATTCCCGGACCTGTAACCAGATTAGTCGTTTTAGCTAACAGAGGTTTGGCCAATTTGGTACAAGATTTGATTTTGGTAAGTTTTACATATAAAACTCTAGAATATAATTAAAAATACTAATTCTCTCTCCCTCTCACATTATTCCCTTAGCGTGTGGCTGCCACAAGTGAGAAATTCGTTAACTTCAAGGCCAAACTCATCACTGCTCTCATTTAAATCTTCAAGCTTTGTTCACACTTACTTCTTATACTATCAACAGCTGTTCATTTCAAAATTAGTCAAATTTTCTTCTACAAAACAACGAAATTCTTTTTTCCTTTACAAAAAAAAAAAAACTTTTTTAGTTTAATTTATTTTTTGCCTAAAAACACGAAGAACAAGATAAAATTAGTTAAACAAAAAACTTAATTCACACAAAACTTTATCTCACACTATTCATCACTATTTTTTTTTTTTTTTTATTTTATTTATTAAAAAACGAAACAAACTACGAACAAAATTTACCCAGTTTGTTTAAAAATGAAAATGTTAAAAACTATTACTAACAATAGGTAGTTAAACAAACTAAAACAAAAAACGATCGTAGCCTATATTTTGTAGTATGCTGCTTGTAAATATGAAATGCCTTTTTAATTATTTTTGTAGTATTGTTTTTTATAATTTTTTTATAATTTTTTCCTATTTTGTAAAAGTTTCCTTATGTATTTTTTCTTAAAACAAAACAAATATGACTGTGGTGTTTTATAAACTATTATTATACTATTAAATTGTTCCCAGTTTGTAAACGTAAAGAAAAAATCAAAATCCTTCATTAAAGTAAAATCGAAAAAAAAGTAGAATTTTGTAGTTAAACACATTTAGTATTCAGTAGCAGTTAAATATCATCGTATACTTCAAAACATTTTACATTTTACACTGTAAAAAAATTTGTAGTTAAAAATCTGCTTAAACTTTGAAGTTGTTGTTAAACATTCTATAAAATCCTAATATTTACTGTTAATTTTTTTAAAGAGAAAACAAAAGAAAATAATTGCCCATTTAAAGAAAAAATCTTAAGTTAATTTTTTTGATATTATGTTGGAATTGTTTTTTTTTTAATTTTTTTTGATAAGTGTAAGTCATTTTTTTATTTTATTAGTTTTTAAGTTTTGTAAAAATGTATCCTTAATTTCTCCCAGAAATATATACCAAGTTAATTAGTTTCCGTTTTAAATAATTTTAAAGTTTTACAACTTTGGTATGGAATTTTCAATTCATTCACACTTTGTTCTATATTAAGTAAAATATTAATTATAACTGCATATTTTTTGTCTGTGTATAAAAACACCATCCCTCTATTTCAAATCTTTTTTATCTGTTTTTGTAATTACTTACTCTTATTATCTGTCTCTTATTAATTTTTAAGTGTTGTAAATAAAAATAAATAAAATATAGTTAAAAATAAATAAAAAATACAAATAAAGAAGTGTTTATTTTCTTTGTGGGATCTTTGGGCAATCAAGGATGCAGTTTTTAAACAATGTGTCAAAATATTTACTTCTGGTTTGTGTGTGTTTTTTTAAAATACTCCAATTACACACTCATACACATCTATTATCACATAACTATATAGGAAAAACTATACTTCCCTAAATAACAATGAAAATCTGTGATCACTTTTAATTCTCACCAAAAATAAACTTCTATATGGAAAATCTAAAATCGGCTCTAGTTCCTTAAATAAGCCTTAAATCGACAAAACAATGAAAATCACTTTTATTTATCACCAACAATCGATTTTCATAATGGAAAACTAAAATCGGCTCTAGTTCCTTAAATAAGCCTCAAATCGACAAAACAATTAAAATCTGTGATCACTTTTATTTCTCACCAAAAATCGATTTTTATAAGGGAAAACTAAAATCGGCCCTAATTCCTTAAATAAGCCTCAAATCTACAAAACAATTAAAATCTGTGATCCCTTTTATTTCTCACCAAAAATCGATTTTTATAAGGGAAAACTAAATTCGGCTCTAGTTCCTTAAATACGCCTCAAATCGACAAAACAATTAAAATCTGTGATCACTTTTATTTCTCACCAAAAATCGATTTTTGTATGGGAAAACTAAAATCGGCTCTAGTTCCTTAAATAAGCATCAAATCGACAAAACAATGAAAATTTGTGATCACTTTTATTTCCCACCAAAAGTCGATTCTTATACAGGAAAACTAAAATCGGTTCTAGTTCCTTAAATAAGCATCAAATCGACAAAACAATGAAAATCTGTGATCACTTTTATTTCCCACCAAAAGTCAATTTTTATATGGGAAAACTAAAATCTAGTTCCTTAAATAAGCCTCAAATCGACAAAACAATTAAAATCTGTGATCACTTTTATTTCTCACCAAAAATCGATTTTTATAAGCGAAAACTAAAATCGGCTCTAGTTCCTTAAATAAGCCTCAAATCTACAAAACAATTAAAATCTGTGATCACTTTTATTTCTCACCAAAAATCGATTTTTATAAGGGAAAACTAAATTCGGCTCTAGTTCCTTAAATAAGCCTCAAATCGACAAAACAACGAAAATCTGTGATCACTTTTATTTCTCACCAAAAATCGATTTTTGTATGGGAAAATCAAAATCGGCTCTAGTTCCTTAAATAAGCATCAAATCGACAAAACAATGAAAATCTGTGATCACTTTTATTTCCCACCAAAAATCGATTTTTATAACTAAAATCGGCTCTAGTTCCTTAAATAAGCCTCAAATCGACAAAACAACGAAAATCTGTGATCACTTTTATTTCTCACCAAAAATCGATTTTTATAAGCGAAAACTAAAATCGGCTCTAGTTCCTTAAATAAGCCTCAAATCTACAAAACAATTAAAATCTGTGATCACTTTTATTTCTCACCAAAAATCGATTTTTATAAGGGAAAACCAAATTCGGCTCTAGTTCCTTAAATAAGCCTCAAATCGACAAAACAACGAAAATCTGTGACCACTTTTATTTCTCACCAAAAATCGATTTTTATATGGGAAAATTAAAATCGGCTCTAGTTCCTTAAATAAGCCTCAAATCGAGAAAACAATGAAAATCTGTGATCACTTTTATTTCCCACCAAAAGTCGATTCTTATATAGGAAAACTAAAATCGGCTCTAGTTCCTTAAATAAGCCTCAAATCGACAAAACAATTAAAATCTGTGATCACTTTTATTGCTCACCAAAAATCGATTTTTATATGGGAAAACTAAAATCGGCTCTAGTTCCTTAAATAAGCCTCAAATCGACAAAACAACGAAAATCTGTGATCACTTTTATTTCTCACCAAAAGTCGATTTTTATATGGGAAAACTAAAATCGGCTCTAGTTCCTTAAATAAGCATCAAATCGACAAAACAATGAAAATCTGTGATCACCTTTATTTCCCACCAAAAGTCGATTCTTATATAGGAAAACTAAAATCGGCTCTAGTTCCTTAAATAAGCCTAAAATCGACAAAACAATGAAAATCTGTGATCACTTTTATTTCCCACCAAAAGTCGATTTTTATATGGGAAAACTAAAATCGGCTCTAGTTCCTTAAATAAGCCTCAAATCGACAAAAAAATTAAAATCTGTGATCACTTTTATTCCCACCAAAAGTCGATTTTTATGTGGGAAACCTAAAATCGGCTCTAGTTCCTTAAATAAGCCTCAAATCGACAAAACAATTAAAATCTGTGATCACTTTTATTTCCCACCAAAAGTCAGTTTTTATATGGGAAAACTAAAATCGGCTCTAGTTCCTTAAATAAGCCTCAAATCGACAAAACAATTAAAATCTGTGATCACTTTTATTTCCCACCAAAAGTAGATTTTTATATGGGAAAACTAAAATCGGCTCTAGTTCCTTAAATAAGCCTCAAATCGACACTTTTATTTCTCACCAAAAATCGATTTTTATATGGGAAAATTAAAATCGGCTCTAGTTCCTTAAATAAGCCTCAAATCGACAAAACAATTAAAATCTGTGATCACTTTTATTTCTCACCAAAAAACGATTTTTATATGGGAAAACTAAAATCGGCTCTAGTTCCTTAAATAAGCCCCAAATCGACAAAACAATTAAAATCTGTGATCACTTTTATTTCTCACCAAAAATCGATTTTTATAAGGGAAAACTAAAATCGGCTCTAGTTCCTTAAATAAGCCTCAAATCTACAAAACAATTAAAATTTGTGATCACTTTTATTTCTCACCAAAAATCGATTTTTATATGGGAAAATTAAAATCGGCTCTAGTTCCTTAAATAAGCCTCAAATCGACAAAACAATTAAAATCTGTGATCACTTTTATTTCCCACCAAAAGTCGATTCTTATATAGGAAAACTAAAATCGGCTCTAGTTCCTTAAATAAGCCTCAAATCGACAAAACAATTAAAATCTGTGATCACCTTTATTTCCCACCAAAAGTCGATTCTTATATAGGAAAACTAAAATCGGCTCTAGTTCCTTAAATAAGCCTAAAATCGACAAAACAATTAAAATCTGTGATCACTTTTATTTCCCACCAAAAGTCGATTTTTATATGGGAAAACTAAAATCGGCTCTAGTTCCTTAAATAAGCCTCAAATCGACAAAACAATTAAAATCTGTGATCACTTTTATTTCCCACCAAAAGTCGATTTTTATGTGGGAAACCTAAAATCGGCTCTAGTTCCTTAAATAAGCCTCAAATCGACAAAACAATTAAAATCTGTGATCACTTTTATTTCTCACCAAAAATCAATTTTTATATGGGAAAACTAAAATCGGCTCTAGTTCCTTAAATAAGCCTCAAATCGACAAAACAACGAAAATCTGTGATCACTTTTATTTCTCACCAAAAATCGATTTTTATAAGGGAAAACTAAAATCGGCTCTAGTTCCTTAAATAAGCTTCAAATCGACAAAACAATTAAAATCTGTGATTACTTTTATTTCTCACCAAAAATCGATTTTTATATGGGAAAACTAAAATCGGCTCTAGTTCCTTAAATAAGCATCAAATCGACAAAACAATTAAAATCTGTGATCACCTTTATTTCCCACCAAAAGTCGATTCTTATATAGGAAAACTAAAATCGGCTCTAGTTCCTTAAATAAGCCTAAAATCGACAAAACAATTAAAATCTGTGATCACTTTTATTTCCCACCAAAAGTCGATTTTTATATGGGAAAACTAAAATCGGCTCTAGTTCCTTAAATAAGCCTCAAATCGACAAAACAATTAAAATCTGTGATCACTTTTATTTCCCACCAAAAGTCAATTTTTATATGGGAAAACTAAAATCGGCTCTAGTTCCTTAAATAAGCCTCAAATCGACAAAACAATTAAAATCTGTGATCACTTTTATTTCCCACCAAAAGTCGATTTTTATATGGGAAAACTAAAATCGGCTCTAGTTCCTTAAATAAGTCTCAAATCGACAAAGCAATGAAAATCTGTGATCACT